TATTTTTAAAATTGAAATTCAAATGATCTTAGTAATGTTTTGGACGAATCAAAATTAGTTTCTGGATGATTAATTTATCTTTACAGACCGAACAAGAAATAGAAAATACACAAGTTCAAAATACAGTTTAAGCATTTTGCAAATTTATTTTGGATGCCGGATTTTATTAATTTGTATAAATGCTGAAGTATCTTCTAAATGATAAGTCAGTTTTCGATATACTTTAAAATTACTGCGACTAGATGCCTGTTTACGTGTGTAAAGGGAAGTAAACATTATGCGTTTTAAATTGTAAATTAAACAACGTGAAGAATGATGATTGTAGATGTCTCAAGAAATGCGATCTATTTTGATCATAAGAAACTCTTTCTTCTGTTTGTCCTTCGATTGTAGTCGTTTAAAAAAAGGTCTAAGAACGACATAAACATAACATACATCAATGAACTTCAAACAATTGCATGTGGTTTAATTTTTCTTATTGTATTCTAGCCAACTGCATAAATTATATTCATTAAGACACCTATAGATAAAGTCATCAAATCAAGATATATTTTTGCAACAGTCAAATTAGTAGATACTGTTAACAATATCACTACTCGTACATACACATTCTTGATATTTACAAAAATTTCAAGGAGCTTAAAGACGATATTAATTTTGAGCTATTCGCATTTATCAACAAGCTATTTTTTTGTGGAGGTTTTCTTGTCTTTTGGTTGAAAGGCAGGTACGTGATGGTATAAATAATGGAAGAGACAAAACACTTCGGTATCGTGATTTGATTATGAATCACAAAGAACTGCACTGTAAACATGCTAAATATGTACCGTCAAAGCTTACCCACACGCAGCAATCCGCTGCAAAATACATTTTGGTACTTGACTCAATTAGGTCCTGCTATTTATCTGTAAATAAAAGGGCGAACTCAAACAAAAAATAAATTTTGAAAGGTATATCGAAGAACCAACAAAGGGGGTCATCTGAAATAGCGTGAATATTCCATGGCAACTACCAAAACATCTCTAGCTAGAAAGCAGTTACCAGAGGGTACTTTTTTAGAAGAAAATCAATGGTCCTTGATGGCAAGTGTTTTCGCGATGTATCCTATAAGCTACACATTTTTAAACAATTCGATATATTATGATGTTAAAGCAAACCTTCTAAAGCCTTCTATAAACTTGGCCAACTATTGAAACAATGACATTTGATAAGAAAAATACATATAAATTGTTTATGGTTTTCTTACTGTGTAAATTGTTCATTCCTGAGTATGTTACTATCAATATATTTATAATCGGCTATCATACACTTGGCTCCAAGTCATTCAAAGAAGAAAAATCGGCAATATGGGACAAAATTTTGAATACGAAATACAAATCACCCAAGGAGCAAAAAATTGACGGATTTCTATGTTTTCAAGCGATGGAGGTCGTCCAAAAATCAATGCTGCTGTTACACTTGAAGAGTCCAGCACCAGTAAAGGTCGGAAAACTAAAAAAAAGAAAAACATTTGATGATGATGATAGCTTTACCTACTTTAAAGATCTAGCAGTAGAAAAGCTAGGAAGAACAAAAGGCAGGTGCGTGCTCATAGACCCGAGACGTCGGAATATTAATTATATTTTATGCAAGAAACAATTACGATAAACAATCCTCACTTATTTTGATTTGCAAAAATCAAAGTTAAAAAAAAAAAATACAACGGTTAAGGTTTTTAAGACACAAATTGAAGCTGTAGTCTATCAAGCTAGCAAAAATCAATTGCCCGAATTTCATTGTCAAACACTTTATTTTAAACAGTTTGTCCGGTATTTAGAAGCAAGGCAACAAGTGAAAACACAATTGAAAGGTCACTATTTGAATGAAACTTCGGAAGAGACCTTTGTGTACTGCCCTGATTCTTTAAATTTAGAAGTTGCAAAACGAGTGATATTTATTACGGAAAATGATTGCTGGAATTGCTAAGCTTGATGCTTATGTCGTTTTACTCACTCTCCTTCACTTAACTAAGCATCTTATCCGAAGTCTAATTCTTCCATTTTTCAGTTTGCGGGTAAATAGTCAATTCGATCTGCGCAGGAAAAATCTTGAAGTAATAATTGAATATAAAAAGGTCCTCTATTTTTATAATGACAAACTCTCCAACTTATAATAAAGGATTATATAGTCTAATTTCTTTACTTGCTGTATTTTCCAATTTACATTTCCCTTTTTATTTCTCAATTATCACAAGCTACATCAAGTGCAACTCGAGGTTGGCAAAGGATCTGAGGATGGAATTTGGAAACGATCCACTTTTCATTCTTGAAGACCGGTCTGCCCTGAATGTGAGGTTTTAAGAGCCAACAAAAAATAAAGGTATCGGCTCTGATTTCTCCCACAATGCGATAGACGTCTTGCATGGCTTATCATGATCATGATGTAAATCGCCACACTGCTGGACCAACGATTTGATATGACCTCTGCACTGAATTATGTCTGGTTTTCATTAAAAACAAGTCGTACAAAGCCCTACAAGTAAAGGACATTCTTTTAGTATGAAGAGACGTCTCGAAGCTTAAATTTTGACCTATAACTGATCCTACTCGTCTATTTCTACTGTTGCGTACATGATTCCAGCACGCGATTATCACATACCAGATATATCTTTTTTCTTTTGTGGCTATGCATCGAGGGAAATCCTTAACATCATGTCTAATGGGTGATATTGTCTCCACAGTATATCCAGTCAGATTTCGTTCGGCTAATCACATCCATCAACAGTACTTCTGTTCATACCGACTCGAACAATTGACAAACACTTCACTACCATATGATTCAGTCGATGGTATATCGCACAGTAAAATCAGCAACAGGATGATTACACATCGATTTATGCTAGATAACGTGTCGCTTCCCTACTGCCTTCTCTGCCCAAATGATTCACTTAAATATCTTGAGCATATGCTTGTGCAACGTCTATTGGTCTGGCCTGCATGGAAAACTGGCTTCCGACACCTGTTTCCAAGACAGCCGAATTTTTACATACTTACTGAATCTCAGTTAAATTATGTCAAATATACCTTAACCAGCATCTATTAAAACTACCTCAAGTAGGTTAATCTTTCATTGCTTCTGAGGATCCTTTTCTACGTCTAATAGATGTGTAGCTCCTCTATTTTAATTCCACTTAATTATCACTGCACACCGCTCTTCTGACGTGTGACTTTTATAAGAATCTAATAAATAAAAAGAGATTCATACAAGCAGAAAAAAAAATGTAGTAGTTTAATTGCCAAAGCATAGGGGGGAGAGTGCAAAGGAAGAAAGTATATATAAACACGCGTAATTTCTTTTTGATAAAAGAAGGGAAAAGGGAGGAAAGAAAATGCAGACCTGTCATATATACAAAAAAAAAAAAATTACACTATGATACATGAAGGGGGGGATGGGGGGAAATAAAAGTTATTGTATAGTACATTGACAGTAAGCAGGTGTATCACTCTCGTATTCATCCACTGTATGAGAGGCCGCGAATTTTTCTAAAGAAACACGCTTTGTAGGATGATCCAAGGCACTGCCTGATCTTTTAACACCTGTCTCTACCATCATCATTTTTGTTGTACTAGAATTGGAAATGATTTCAAACTCTTCTTCATTCTGTTCTTGTTTCTTTTGACTTTCCCAACGGCTTAGATTGATTTGCATTTGATCGACAGCAAATGAAATTTCGGCCAATACTTTACTGACATTTTGAAATAATCCCAATGCCACGAAGCGTATAAATCCAATTTGTGAATCTTCCAACACTACTTTCGATCGATCGTTCATAGGTAAAACAGGCATCCCTAATTCCTTTTCCAGATCACCTTGATTAATAAACTCCTTCACCAGGAGCTCAGCCCATTGTGTACTCCAGTGAAAGGGTCGTGCCACATTGCTGATATCCGCACATTTAATCAGTGCACTGCATATTAATTGTCGCTCTTCGGCTTCGTCATTCTTTAGTGTGGTGGATGGGCTGGAGAATCGCATCGCTTGTTGTTGAATCTTTGTCACGTATTCGTTATGTAATGACATGTCTGTTGCTAAGATACTCGACACGACCGTCTTTCTAAAGTCTAAAATCGTGTTACTTTTTACATTAAAATTTCACTTTTTTTTTTGTTTGTTCTGTACCTTTGTATGCATCTGATTTAGGATCACCCACCAATCGGTCGATACCATGCTTGTTTAAAAGTTGAAATAATGTGACGGAATGTAGACTTTCTAATACAGATCGGTCATTGTATAATGTAGCGAGTGGGTTTGCTGAATTAATCTATGTCAAGAAGGGGTTGTTAGCATGATGCTGCGGAGGGTGGATGGGTCAAACTTACGAGAAACATGTTGTTCACACCAGGATGAGCAGCGTCATGACCGATGGCAGCGATAAGCAAGGCAAAGACGTCTTTGGGCCTTAATAAAGCCTGAGGTTTGTTTCTTTGCAAGAACTTGTTTGTAAAAGGTAATACGCCCAATTCACACAGCATGTAAAATAGACATTGTAAGACGTCTACAGCATGCGCGAAATTATGATAGGGATTTTCGTCATGATATACACTTGCCAGATCCAAGATAAAGTCGTACAATTGTGCTATTTATAAAAAAAAAGATTAACTTGTTGTGCGCACCAAAGATTTAAGCTTTTTTTTTTTTTACCTTGTGTGATAGAGATGTGATAGAGTTCGGGTAGTTTTAAAACTTGATCAAACACAAGATAGACACAATGAACAAGTTCAGATTCAGATAGTCCAAAGGGACTAAAGTCCCAACTACATACTTTGGATTTCAGTTCGGATGAACGCTTCCTTAAAGTTTTTTTATAAAGAGTGAGACTAGGGTGAAAATATTCTAGAAAGGATACTTACTTTGTTAGTGTTGGGTAAGTGCGTGAAGTGGCAGGTGAACCATACACGTCCATCATGATCTTTGTTAAGCTAATGAAAAACAAAAAGAGTCAGCATGAGGAAAAAAAAGAAAGATGGAAACAGAAATCTTACTGAAGGTCTTTGGAAGACATGTCGTTAATTCTGTCATGCAAGTCCTTTTGCACGGTCTTTTTGTCACTGATTCTGGTTGTAATTGGTGCTTGAGAAGCATGCAGTTTCTAGATTAAGAAGAGACATGAGAAGTCTGTTTGTTTTTTATATAGACGAGAGAAAGAGAAAGAGAGATACTTACGAGAAATAGAGTTTTGATGACGTTTGGATATAATGGTTTTAATAAATAATCCGTAGCACCAGCATGTATACAATCCAACATTCTTTCAGTATCATCATTGGATGAACAGACTATATAAATATGTGAATACACAAGGAAAATCATGTGTAAATAGAATAAAATAAAAAAAGGTAGTAACTAACCGACAAGAGGTACATAATTCGGCAAGGTATTTAAATCGCGTGTGATTTTAGAAATAAATCGTACAAGATGCCGTGTATCATCCAAACGAGTAGAACAGCAAGTGGATGAATCTGTTTGTATATAACCAACAGCACTTTCTTCATGAATATCCATCGCGTCCAAGTCCACCAATAATAACGTGGGTTGTTGCCTGCTGCTTTGCTCTACTTTCTCTATTGCTTCCATCGTATCATGCTGCACAACCACTGTATATCATAATATGAGTTTAATATCTATTAACCTTTTCTTTATAAAAGTGGATATCTACCTTTTCCAAAGTAGGAATTAAATAACTGTCCATATGTCTCACCGTCATGAGTAACATAAGACTGGTGTAGTATCACCACTGTACAAAGTGAAGGGTTCATAACAATGCAGTAACTTTTTCTCTCACTCTTCTTTTTTTTTTTTTTTTTTTTTTTTTTTTTATGAAAAGAAAAAAAGAAGGGGGGGATAAAAAATATATAAAATAGACGTATAAAGAGAAGAAAAAGGGGGAAATAAAATAAAATAAAAAAAAAAAGCTTTTTTACCCACGTGGCAAGTGTGATGAAACTTTTTTTGCAGGTCCGTGCTACAAGACGATTTAAAACTTTAACCGAAAAAAAATTAACGTTTTTTTTTTTTTATTATTTTATCACAACACGTGGAAAAATAGGACTACCAAGAGGGACCTTGAGAAGCACTGTGACTGCCAACTTGAGAAGAACCTGTATAACTTTCGCCCATGACACCATCGTTGGCAGGATTATAAGTGAAGCCTGCAAATTGTTCTTGCATAGTACTGGAGATTTGAGAATCATCGACCAAGGACTCCTGAGGAGCCTCTGATGTAAATTCATCATCAAAATTGGTGGTATCATAGGCTGAATCAACGGATGGTTTATAGGGAGGTTGTAATTTCTTTTGATTTAATTTACGCCAGTCAATCGATGCAAAGAACGCATGGTTCTTGATCTCTTCAGATCCATTATTGCCTAATCGCTCATTGGGATCACGTGTCAACAGTCCTCGTAACAAGGATCTTGCATCAGCACTCATATCTTCCGGGAAACGTAACTCGTCCTGTAAAATCTTACGGTACATTTCATTGGTATTCTCGTCATAGAACGGAGGTAAACCCGTCATCATCTCATACAAGAGAACACCTAATGTCCACCAATCCACAGTCTTTGTGTACCCTTGTCCTAGTAGTAATTCAGGTGCAAGGTATTCGGGTGTGCCGCAAAATGTGTTTGTACGCTCGTTCTCCTTCATGTTGAGTTTGCACAGCCCAAAATCACACAACGCAATGTGTCCATTATAATCAATCAAGATATTCTCTGGCTTCAAGTCACTGTGGTTGTAGTATAAAAGTTAGTATGTAAATATAGATACATAGACTTGGAAATTTACCGGTAGACGACATTAAAGTCATGGAGACACTCTAGCGCAGACAGAAGCTCAGCTGTGTAGAATCGAGAGCGATTCTCATCAAACCTTCCTTCCAACTGTAAATGATGGAACAACTCACCACCATTGATAAAGGCAAGGACAAGATAGAGTTTATCGGGCGACTGGAAGGCAAACTTGAGGGGAACAATAAATGGATTTCGAATCTTGGCCAGTACGGTCTTTTCGGCCATTGTATGGGTGACTTCAGAACGAGAAATGATGCGAGATTTACGCAAGACTTTCATGGCATAGATTCGATTTGTGTCCTTTTTACGCACCACATAGACCTTACCAAAACTACCTCGTCCAATCACTCGCAACAGATCAAACGCGTCAAATGTAATGGGCGTACTCACTTGCTGAGGTCGATAGCACAGCTGCAAATGCATAGCGCCTGTTCCTCCTACAATAGGAAGTACTTGGTCTTCGATCTTTGTGCTGTCGAAATTCGGCTGGATCTTGACACCGCCCAAGAAGAAGTCGTTGGTTGTGCGTGGTGTTTCTCCATGCGCTGTTGGTGGGTGACGCATGTAAATAGATATCGACACTTCCGAGCTGCGCGAAACATCACTGTTTTATGATAAAAAAATAGAGTTAGTTACATAAACACACACACACACACACACACACATATATATATATATATATATGCTATGTCACTCACAAATGGGCTCGGTGCTGGTAGATGGGGTTGGCTGTATCACCCCCCAAGGAGTCAATTAAGACTTCGTTCTTATCAAACTCCAATACAACATAAGGCAACCACCAATTCTGCTTGCGAGTCAAAGAATCCCGATTAGCACGGCCTTGTACCATTGCTGGTTGAGGAGGAACAGCGGGTAATTTGACACCTGCGGGTGGAGAGATACCTCTACCCTCACATACACGAATTAAGAGCACACCCGATTTGGGTTCATTGGCGGAAGAAGAGGCAGATGGTGAAGGTGTGGAGCTGTTCGAGTGCTGAGAGGTAACAGCAGGTGCGGGTGGGCGTAAAGGTGTTGAAGGTTCCTTATTTTCTAAACAAGAGAGAGATGGTCCATTATTAATACATCATCTCTTTCTTTCCACACACTAAAAAAAAACACACTTACTTCTAACACCGGGTAATTTCCAAGAATTCATTCTTTAAGCTTTGCTATAAAAAAATAAAGAGAGAGAGAGAAAAAGAAAGAGAGAAAGAGCTTATATATTCTAGATGGAACCTCTTTATATATATGTAAGAAAAAAAGGGAGTGAAAAGAGAAAAAAAAAAAAAAAAAAAAGTTAAATGACCTTGTTTTTAAAACCCCCACAAGTAGCGGAGATCGAAATAGACTAGAATAAATCTGACAACAACTTTTTTGTTTCTTTCTTTCTTTTTTTTTTTTTTTTCTTTCCATTACATTTTTAAACATGGATGCTGTTTCAAAGAGATTAATCAAGGAGCTGCGTGAAATTGACAGAGAGGCAAAATCACACCCAGAAATAGTCTCACTTGCACCAGAGAACGATGACAACTTGATGCAATGGCGAGCTGTTCTTGCAGGACTTGCAGACACACCTTACGAAGGTGAGTGATTCATTTAGCTGTCTGCCAATACTACTTTAGAACTAACATTATAATTTTTAAAGGCGGTCGCTTTGAATTGTCAATAGATATACCTCATAACTATCCTATTCATCCTCCCAACGTGAAATTCGTGACTACCATTTGTCACCCCAACATTCATTTCAAGGTAACAATAATATTCACACACCCAAAAAAAGGGGGGGTTCTAATATCTGATTTAATAGACGGGCGAGATTTGTCTAGACATATTAAAGACAGCATGGTCACCTGCCTGGACCTTGAGATCCACACTATTGGCCATCTCTCTCTTACTGAGTCATCCCGAACCTTCTTCACCTTTAAATTGTGACGCTGCCAATTTATTAAGGTGTAATGATAAATTAGGTTACGAAAGCCTGATCAAAATGTATACCCAACTCTATGCCATTCAATAAGTTCCCCTTTTTATTATTTTTTACACTGGTAGATTAAATAAACTGAAATCATGAACCAATACACACTATACCCAGTCCCATTCCAGTCCGAAGTGCCAAATAGCAAACTATTTTTTTTTTAAATCATTTGGTTTAGTTCTCTCTCTCTCTCTTTTTACTTATAACTGTTTATGCTACTCACCGTAGGAGATTGTCATTGGATTGTCCCCGAATAATAAACACCAGATTTTGAATAGGCGGGTGCAGGATTTGTTCCACAGAGCCAAATAATTTAGAGACAGCAATGGCCCCAGTGAGATACACCACAATACTACAACACGCTGTCTGCACACGTTTGGAGAAATGCGTGAGTGTAGCATAATAGGCAATTCCAAACCCTGCGCACAATACAACACTAATCATTGTCATGACAACCGTATGTTGAGGGTTACGATGGCTGACACCTAAGCCTTGATTGATCATGAAACAAGTAGGTAACAATAACAATAATAGCCGTGCAGTGACATCATGTTTCTTTTTTAGGATATTCCATCCAATGCTTGTTGACAACACTGCAATAAAGAGAGAATTGAACAGTTGAAAGGTTGTGTTCACTTGTAAATTTAAAAGATGAAGCATCACATTAATAAAGAATCCCAGACCTACGCCTGATAAAATCAAGCGTTTGTCTCGGCTGGAATACACCATTAAACTGGTTGTCACTACCGTCGTATTGAACACCTTGTCCAATATCAACTGAAAAAACCGGCTTTCCAATCCTATCATTTTTGCTGAGTAAAAAAAAAGAAAAAAAAAGAGAAAGATAAAACAAAAAAGCAAAAAAACTTTCCTTATTGTGTGTTAGATATATATAGCTCTTATTTCGGGATTTTAACTATATTTAACCTCGTTGATATTTTTTTTTTCTTTTTTATAAAACTCAAATATTTAATTTCCTTTTCCTTTCTTCTTTATTTTTTTTATTTTAAAAAAAAATGAAACTGTTATTGTTGCTATTGTTTCTGTACGCGGTAACAGCGAAAAGAGTGGAGCTTGATTGGAATTTAAAGTACAAAAATGTCAATGCCGATGGACTTTTTGAACGTAGAGTCATCAGTATCAATGATCAATGGCCGTAAATAAATCTCTCTTGTCAAAAAATAAAATAAAATAAACATCTTATCGTATTCTATCATTAGCCCGTTGCCGGTGGAGTTAAACGTCAATGATATCTTGGTCATCCATCTTCAAAATAATCTGAATGAAGTCACCGTGATTCATGCACACGGTATCAACCAAAATAACGGAACAAATCATATGGACGGTGCAGGCATGGTCACCCAGTGGTAAATAACCTTAAAACCATAACTCCCCTCTCATCTTATTCACCCTTTTTAATGTTCTAGTCCAATTCCCGCTAACCATAATTTCACTTACGAATTTCCTGTCACACAAGCAGGCACCTTTTGGATACACAGCCATTATAAGGTTCAGTACATGGATGGTTTGCGTGTTCCACTCGTCGTACGGGATATCCATGAACCCTTCCATTGGGACGAGGACCAAATTATCTCTCTCTCTGGTTTGTTATTTTGCACCATCCCAACCCATACTTCTCCCTCCTCTAACTCATAATATATCTTAAAGACTGGTATCACCAAGATTCATACACCAATTTGGAACAGTACATGAACCATGATAACATTGAAGGTGTTGAGCCCATTCCTCGTAAGTTCTTTGATGAATGGAGTGCCACATTTAAAATAACCAACCCAAACAACAGAATCTGGCTTAATTAACGATCATGTCAATTCAACAATTTCCTTCAAGCCCAATAAGACCTATCGTCTTCGATTCGTCAATATGGCTGGTATCGCCACATTTAATGTCTACTTGGACGGTCATGATATGCAAGTCATTGAAGTAGACGGTGTATAGTATAAACCATCACTCCTTTCTATTTTAATTACACTAACTATAAAAATAATATTTCATTAGATCCCTACACAACCTACACGCACAGGGCTTATTTATTTAGCTGCAGGTCAACGTGTCTCTGTCCTTGTAAAGACCAAATCCACTACAGACTTGAACTATATCTTGCATGCCAACATGAATCCTGCCATGTTTGACTATATCCCAGACGGACTCAAATTAAGCAAGTAGACACACCCACATTGGTTACACAACTTGTATGCTAAAGTATATTCTCTTAAACACCTAAATGTTAGATATCGAAGCTCCCATCTACTATGACAAGGATGCACCTTTTGCTCCTCTCGACGACCCAAAGAAAATCGAGAACCATTACAGCGACGCCAATATTTTCCCGTTAAAAGCATCACCCCCTCTCGTTGCAGACAGACAAATCAATATGACGGTGGATTTTATGGAGAATACCGATGGATTAAACCATGGTGTGATTAACGATATTCCTTATCTTTCACCCTTGGTCCCCAGTTTAAACACTTTAATGACTATTGAGGAAAATCTAGTGAATGATACGCGTGTTTATGGTCCTCAAAGTCAAACGATTATCGCCGATTTGGATCAAGTGCTTGAAATTGTCATTAATAATCTGGATGATGGACCCCACCCGTGTAATAATTTTTTTTTTTTAATTTATACACAAATAGACCCGAAACTAACTCTTTATGATAGTCCATTTACACGGTCATTCGTTTCAAGTGATTGCACGCGGTGACGGCGTCTACTCGAAAGATACGGTGATTGTAGAACCAATCAATCCAACGGTTCGAGATACCATTGTCGTCACTCCCGAAGGCTATGTCGTGCTTCGTTTCAGAGCCAATAACCCTGGCGTCTGGTTTTTCCATTGTCACGTCGATTGGCATTTACCTGCAGGTTTAGCAGCCACCTTTATCACCGCACCCAAATTGGCCCGTCAACAATTCGAGGCCTTGCCTGATATCATGTATGACATCTGTACTTTATCCGGATTACCAGCCAAAGGCAACGCTGCCGGTAAAAAGGGCTTAGATTTAGAGGGCGCACCCGATGGTGTTCGTCCTATTAAAAATCCTTTGATTTTGGGTTGTATTATTGCAACATTAGTAGGTATTAGTACGATTATTTGGCATGTCTGGGTAGACCCTACTTCTTCTCAGCACGAAGAAGAAGATGAGGATCAAAAACGTTTATTAGAATAAAAAAATAAAAATTACTTCATTCTCTCTCTCTTTTTTTAACCGCGTCCTCGACCTCCACCGCCGCTGCTAATATTGCCGCCGCCGCCGCGTGAAGAAGAGCCACGTCCACGGCCTCGTGTTGTTGTAGCGTATGGGTATGGATGATAATAATCCGCGGTATAATACTGTTGATGATTGTAATAAGGTTGTTGTTGCTGTTGAAGGGGTTCATTAGGCATATAATAAACAGGTTGAACATAGGGCTGTTGACCATATCCATACACTGTTAATCCAGTATTTGGATCCACCATCGGTACCATCATACCATAATCAGGTGTATACGCTTGTTGATAATAATACTCATCATAATGTTGTTGTTGCTGGTGCTGTTGTTGCTGAGGATAATACTCGTAATTATTAAACATTTCCATCACAGGTGCCGTTGCTGCTGTCGTTGTTGTTGTAGCAGTAGTGGGCGGTGGTAATGCTACAACCTGTTGTTGCTGTTGTGGTGGTCGTGGTGGTGACGGTGGTGTTGGGAATGAAGATGCTAAAGCCTTTAATGGTGGTGATGGAAGAGGGGGAGGTGGTAAAGGTGAAGTATCTTGAACCACAAGAGGATGATCAGTATTAGGTTTCTCTTCCTGCTTTTTCTCGACGGGTTCCAAAGGTTTCTTCTTTTTAGAACGTTGCTTTTGTTTATCGGATGGTAAACTAGTTGTATCGGATGTTATTGTTTCAAGGGGTTCTTCTGTCTCTGGCTTGACCTTCTTCTTTTTGGTAGGTTTTTTCTTTTTCTCCCTGCGTGGTTTTAACTCGGGATCTGTTGCTGGGATATTCGATGGTTGCTCCAAAGACGCAGGCTGATCCAAGGACGCAGGTTGTTCCAAAGATACGTGTTGGTCTGAAGATGCAGTTTGGTCTGAAGATGCAGGTTGGTCTGAAGACACAGGTTGATCTGAAGATACATGTTGTTCCGAAGGTGCAGACACATTGGCATCTTCTACTGCCGTTGCATTGTTCAAGGGCGCTTTTTTACGACGTGCCTTTTCTCTACGCTTTTTCTGCTTAGGTTTTGTTTCCGCTCCAGTTGTAGGTTCTACCATGGCTTGTTGTTGAACAGATTGTGGTTCTTCTGAAGGAGGTTGTTGTACAAGGGCAGGTTGATCAGGTAGAGGCTGTTCCATCATAGGGTCCGAAGAGGGTCGACGTTCGATAGCTGTCACTTTGCGTGGTTTTTCTTTACGCTTTCGTTCTCTACGCTCTGGTTTATCCGTCTTTCCTTCCTCGGGCTTATTTTGAGCATCCTTTTTGTTGGTATAATCAGACTTGATTTTAGCGGGTGAATTGTCGCCTTTGGTGGGTTTATCAGTGGTCTTGCTGGATCTTTCTTTTCTCTCGGGCGTAGCTTTTCTTTCAGCTCCTGGATCGGGTGTAGTTTTTCTTTCAGTTGAATCGTGTGTGCCCTTTCTTTCAACAAAAGAACTCTTGCTTTCGGGTGTCTCTCTTCGTTCTGGCGTGCCCTTTCTTTCAACGTAATCCCGTGCTCTTTCAGGTGTATTCTTTCGTTCAACGTTATCCCGTGGTCTTTCAGGTGTATCCCTTCTATCAGGCGTAGCTCTTCTATCAGGCGTAGCTCTTCTATCAGGCGTAGCTCTTCTTTCAGGTAAATTCTTTCCTTCAGGTGTAGCCCTTTCAGGTGTGGCCTTTCTTTCGAGTGTACCTTTTCTCTCAGGAGAGAAACCCTTTTTATCCGTTCTTTCAGTTTTGATATATCTTTCCTGCTGCTGCTGCTGTTGATGATGATGAGTCCCTTCAGGAGAAGGAGAAGGCTTGTTGAATTTTCCCTGCTTGTTAGGTTGGATATTTCCTTCAGGCTTGTTTTTTCCTCCCTGTTGTTGACTATTTTGTTCAGGCAGTTGTTGAATATTATTTCTCTCCTGTTGGTTAGCGTTTCCTCCATTGAAGTTTCTTTCTTGTGGATTGAAATTTCTTTCAGGCCTGGTATTATATCTCTCTTGTTGATTATTTCTTTCAGCCGCAGGTTTATGGTTATCTTGTCGGTTGACATTTCTCTCCTGTTGGTTATTGTATCTTTCTTGTTTGGTATATCTCTCTTGTTGCTGTTGCACGCTTATTTCAGGCTTATTATTTTTTTCCTGATATTGCTGTTGTTGTTGCTGCTGGTTGATATTTCTTTCAGGCTTATTATTTTTTTCCTGCTGCTGAATATTTTGTTCAGGCTTGTTATTTCCATCCTGTTGTTGCACATTTCTTTCAGGTACATTTTTGTCTAATAGCTTATCACCTCGTTCGGCCTTTTTTTTCTTGGGTTTAGCCACCTTGTCAGGACGATCTTGTGTCTCACTATTGGGTTTATCATTGCGTTTGCTCTTGTTTTTATTACGCTCGGTTTTGATTGTTGTGGTTGTTTGTGTTGAATCGATAGGAGTGGCATCGGTACGCTCTTGTTGTTTATTTTGACGTGGCGCTTTTTTATCCTTTTTTACTGCTGCGGCGGGAGCACTTAACTTGTTTTCAGCAGGTTTTTCGGGCTACAAATGTGTATAGTCTGTCAATACATGCTCGAGAAAAAAGTGTGTATGTATGGTTTACCTTGACTTTAAAAGGAATAAAGGCAGGAGGACCTTCATCTTCTTTTTCAGATTGTTTTCCACCGAAACGTCTTAAGAATTGCTGTTTTTTATATACGAAAATGTCAAAAAAAGATATGCAGACAAAAGAAAAGCCTTGTATATTTACCTTTCCAGCTCTCCAAGCTTGCACGAGTTCTTGTACATGACCACCTAATTCTGACAACATGCCCGGACCTAGCATGAGTATGCCGTCTCTAATGGCAATAGGTTTCGTTACCAAGAATTTCGTTCCTGGAGGCGTGTGAAGTCTTATCATGTGAAAAATAACAATTAATATACATTTTTATAACTACGCAGATACAAAGAGCTTACTTTAGACAATCGACCTTGCCAAAGACTTCGACACCTTTAAATTTCTTCTTGCTACCGTCTGTAAAGACTACGGAAAGAAGACGCGGTGTTTCAGCTTGATGAGCAGAGGGCATGGCTGTATTCTTGATTTCCAAAACTTGTAATACACAAGGTGAAGGAATAGTCGTGAGTTTCTCGTTGGTTTTGTTGAACCCTTTTGCTGATAAAAGACGCAAATCCGTCTAGAGTTTTTTTTTATAGGTTGAGGTTAGTTTATCACTCTTTTTTTTTTTTTTTTTTTTTTTTTTTTTAATAATGTCAATTACGTCTTTGGCACAAGCAATGAGGTCGTCAACGTTCGACGCTTCCGGATTTTGTTGTTTTAATAGTTCAATGCCTTCTGGTGATAGAAACCAACCTTTTTCTTCAAATTCAGTCATAATGAACTACGAGTTGAAAAAAAAAAGGAAAGAAAAAAAAAGGTTGAAACGCGAGATTTTTATATCTATTTTATTTTTTTTATTTTGCATTACAGCGCGTCACAATGTGAGATTTTTTTCTGTGACAATGAGATTTACTTTGTAGATTTATTATTTATATGAGAGTAATAGTTTTATGCAAGACGCTTGGGAAGACCGTCTTCTTTTAAGAGAGATTCAGCTTGAGCTAAAACACGAGGTCCATCATCGACCTTGGTATGCAACAAACGACTCACGCTACCTTCGGGTTGCACAGGAATCACCTTTTCATTGAAAGAAGCATGTGTCTTGGGAATGAAATCTTGACCCAATGTACCTTCTACCACTTGATAGGGATCAGCAAAGAAAGCACTGGGTTCCTTGTTGGAAGGGAAATAATGACCAATCAATTGAATGATTTCAGCCATATGTGCCTTGGGAGCATAAATGACAGCGTTGGGTCCAGCATCATAAGTGTATGCGGCCTTTAACTTACCATCCTCTGATGTAGCGTTGTATTCATGGATTAATTGCATAATAGCACGCGATGTATCGTTCAAGTAGAAAATAGGAGGATAGGTATCGAGACAAACAGCATGGAATTGGTTGGAATCACGCATGGTTAATTCGGCAAATGATTGGAAATCCTTCTCAAGAATGGCCTTAGTCATGGCTTCCATACGAGCAGGAACAACTTGATTGATACGTTCGTTCATTAAGGGACTGGTCTTAATGGTGCTTTGCATACCAGCAGTAGAAGAAGTTCCCTTCTTGGCATCAGATACCACACAGATCAAAGCCTCGAGTTCAGGCCAGTGAGTCTCGGGAGCAATTTGAACAGCCAAAGAATCAGATCCATCCTTTTCCTTACCCATTTCCCAAGCAACGAATCCACCAAAGAGAGAACGACAGGCAGAACCAGAACCTTGACGGGCAATACGTGAGACCTCGGAGGTAGAAATGGTCAATTCAAACAATTGAGATAAAGTATAGACCAAAGCAGCTAAACCAGAGGCAGAAGAAGCAAGACCAGCAGCAGTAGGAAAGTTGTTCTCGGAACAGACATGGACAGGATAGCTGGAGAGTTTTTCAATGGGAGAACCAGATGCTTCGGCCTTGTCTTCCATGGACTTACGAATGGCACGAGTTTCACGGAAACAGTTGTGCATACGCTTGTTCTTGGTGATATCCTCTTCCTTTCCATTTAACCAAAGACGATCATGGGTAAAGTCTTGACTGGCAGAAATGGTGGTCTTACTGTGAAGAATGTCTTGAGATAAGGTGACGGAAATGGAACTGTTGGTAGGTAAGATGAGTTCAGTATCTCTCTTTCCCCAATACTTGATGACCTGTTAAAAAATAAATGAGTTGCTGTTTCAAAAGAGAGAAAGGTGGTTTTCGCAAGGTTGTAACTTACAGCAATGTTCACGGGAGCGGTACAGGTAACAGACTTCATGTGTGCAGATTCAAATGATGATGAGAAGAAGGAAACACAGATATAAAAAAAATAAAAAAAATTGACCTTTTTGACTTGTTTAAGGAGCCGCTCACAGAAGGTTACTTGTATGACAAAAATAAATTGTGACCTTTTACGTCAAAACTTTTATTTGTTGACACATGGAAAAAAGTCTATCCTAACATTGAAATGTAACAACCCCCGAGAAATAAGATACACAATGTCTTTTCTTTGTTCACTCTTATTAAAAGGGGGTTTTTCTTTCTGTTACTGGATTAAGTCAATCCCTAGATATGATCATAGCAAAATACACAGTAGAATTCGGTACAGCTCCCGCCTTGTTACATTTATAAATAAAAAAAAAAAGCTTAAAAGTTTAAACATGTTAGTCATCCTTCTCATATTCTCATTTGTTGTCATAAATACAGTAAAAAACCTGTTTGTTAAGGCTTCTCAAAAAAAAAAAAAAAAGAAAAAAAAAATTAAGGGGTAAAAAAATCTCATAGTTACGTGTTTACTTTTGCATTCTCCTTCAATTTTTGTTCACTTTCCATCTTTTATAGATTCATCTGTTGTTTATTCTATTTGTTTTATTCAACCAACAGTATACTACTAACCCCTTCATATGATAGTTTCAAAATTATTGTCTTGAGCATTTATCATGTCAACTTCATTGTTTATTCTTTGCGTCTCGGTTGGATTTGAAAAAAAAAATGATTTATTTAGTTAGTCAAGTGATCGTTGTCATGGTTAAATTGCGAGTAGTTTGTAAGCTCCTCCACTAAAATTTTTGATTAGAGACACACACTACTATTTCATTGTTGCCAAAATTCTGCTTGCATCCTGACTTTTTATCTGGCGGGAAAAAAATGGACCAATCTTCTGTTTCTTTGTTTCTATGAAATGGCCGTTGTTTGCCGGTTTTACTTCAGAATTGATAAAAATCCAATTTATTACAGCCATATCTGTTTTGCACTCATACGTATTACATATTTGTCAAAATATACTCCATTCATATGATGTTTATAATTGAATAAAGTACTCTTCAAGAAAGTGCTGTTAAGCGGTGTTTTTGTTTCTTACAAAGAGCTGTGGTATCCGATATCCGATTTGTGAACCCGTTTCTTTTTTCATAGGGCTATAAGCTTGTGTAGTTTTTAGCTGTCTAACTCCGTTTCAATCAGCTTTTGTGTGCGTGTGTTGAAGTGGAATACATTAAAAAATTAGCTAGTTAGTCATTTCACCAAAATAATTGGACTGGAATTCGGATATTCTTTACAAAGACAAAAGTAAGACAGACTTCGCTGAGGTCGATTCCATGTACAATAGATAAAGTTCAGTGGGGAAATAATTTTTTTGTCAGCTGAATTATTTTTTGGTGATAGGTATAATGGAGGGGTTAAGTGGTCAGAGTATTTGGGGGAAACATTATGAAAAGCATCTACTCATAACAATAAAATGAAGTAGCGGTGGTGTATTGATAATGATCAAGACAAGTGTATTGCCCTTCTAACACGTAGTTTTATTCCTCATTCAAAATATTGAACGAGAACTATGAGGTTACTTGATATAATGGTGCATATACAATTATAGAGTTTATAGTCATCAAGAGAGTCTTTAAATACTGACACAAGTCAACCCCATCAGGCACTTTGGGCGAGATATTAACAATGAAGTGAACAATAAACCCAAACTTGAGAGTTGTAACAAAGATCGGATGGGAGAAAATGAGATTTCAACTTGCGCAAAGATTAGTTTGAAGGATGTCAATAATTACCACGAGGTAGACAATGCGAGTGATGATTACATTAAACATAAGTTTTACATTTTTATAATTTATTGTATCATTGATTTGTACAATTGGCTGCGTTACGAATTTTTTCTCTTTTTTTTATCCGATGTTTAGCAGAATCCACTTGGGTATCACTCTGAATATAAGCGAGTGTCAACGGTTGTCCAATAATTCTGTACTCCTTAAAATTCCAGCGTTGAAGATCGGTATAAAATCCCATTAGTCTCGCTGATAACTGTAAAGTATAGTCGTAATTAAGGTGTTTGAAATCTATAATGACTGGCTGATTATGACTTCTATTATCATCGATATGAATTTCACATTTGGGACCGTCCGAATTTGCTTCCAAGAGTGTATATCTACCTGGTACTGCATTATCCGAATGCTGTACTTTGATAAATTCTAAAAATAATTTAAATTAGGATTAAGAGTGTATGGATTTAAGATTGGCACAAATATAACTACCTGCGACTACGCCCTTTCCAGGGTTGTGTTTATAAAAGTTACTAAAAATGTCATCTTCTTCAGATTTATCTTCCATGTGGAACTTAAGTTTTATCGATACTCCTGCGATCGGAATCGGTTTTCCTTTTTGAAGAATTATCAAGAAGTTACCATCCCTAACAACAGTATTTTTACCGTCCTTGCTGCAATCCATACAGAGAAATGAATAATGCTTGGTATTTCCCCAGACTCCAAACCGTACCCCGTAGGTTTCTGTAGATATTTGGCTTAAAACTCCTTTAATAAATCTGTCATATAAGTATGGTTTTTCACTTGTTGCTTGTTTCAATAATTGGTAAATTGATTCTTGAAAGACAACTCCCTGTAAATCTTTTGCCTTGGACTCGATAGCAATATTAATCGCTTTCTGAGTTATTGCAGTATACATGATATACAGTGGTGAGGATGTCAAAAGCTTAAATGGATCTCCTAACAAAAACAAAAATCCTATATCGTAATGACCGAATAGTGTCGAGTTCGTCATCGAAGCCGCTATGGTTGTTGCCGTATTTTGAATAATTGGTTTAATACCCTTTTCAATGATGTCGCGAAGAAAAAGAACAATTGTACAAGAGCATTCTTCCGTGATTTTTAAATGGTAAGTATAATCCATGTCAATACCTACATGGCTCAAGCTCAACTACAAAAAATTATCAAAAAGAATACATATATGAGGTAGATATATACCACTTACAACTTCCATCAAATAAAATTTTAACCTCTGGTAAATAGCCTTGTAACCTTCTGAAGAATTTAAGCTGTGAGGATCATCACCCTTATTCATGTGCTTTAGACAGTAATCAATACGGTTGCTAGATAATAAGGCCGCCCAAATGTTTTTGCATAAGGTGTCATATACATCCTCTATGTGTAGTATTTCATCCTGGATAATGATGGTGGCAGCATCCTCGGCAGGTGTTGATAGTTTAACAACTTGATGTAAAGTGAGTTGAATATGCTTTTGATGTAACTGTGCAACAATAAAGTATAATTTCATCTTGAAATCAGCGTCTTTCAGTTTCTGTTGAATGGCAGGTAAAATTTCTTCGCCGTAAGTACATATTTCAGCTTTTCGAAAACCATTATTATTATGTAGTATCCCACTTGCAAATAGCATTTCATTTAGGGTTTCCTTTGAGCCAAATATATCATCCAATAACTTTTTTTCAACTGAAAAAGCAAATGCGGTATTCTTGTCTCTCCAATCGTTTCCGAAAGCACTGTCCATTTTGTCTTCTATCAACTTGTTGAGATAATACAGGTACGTTATGATAAAGAAAAAGAAGTATCCGGGATGGCAAACAATTACGGAATTATCACCGTTGGCAGCAGATAGCGCAATTTTTTTCGAAAACATCGTATCCATATCAACCTTGCACAAAAGCTTCTCAACTATTTTGGATTCAGGATACACAAATGTATTTATAACCTTTGTTCTTTTATCAGGATGTGACCACAATTTGAGATATTTACGAAAAGTATTCTGTATAAATAATTTCATCCTACACTTATTCTTAGTCATCCATTAACATAGATTTATATCACTTAAAATGTGTTTCACCTATAAGTTATGCAGAGTGCTGATCTATCGTACAAGTTGGGTTGCGAAATAAAGTTTGTCAATGGCTGTATATCACTGACAGTAATAATAAAATCACGTTAGTATCATTCCATACCGTATATTTATATAATCAATACCATTGATAATTTTCTGTTGTGCTCTTTATATGGCCGGTATCTCCTGCGTGGGTAATCTGCAAGTTCACAGTTGTAGGCAACAAGTCTGTCCACGAATTAAATTATTTTAGTCATTTGCAGTGCACTTGGCTTTTTGGCTTACCAATATTAATAAAATAAATAGGCTTAAAAAATCCAGCTTCTGAATTTAATGGTAATATTTTGGGATCTGTAGATTTTTTGGATTCTATAATTCTTTTTTTTACTAGCTTTTCGCCTCCAAACATCTTTATCTCCAAAACCAATCTGAAGCTGACAGCTTTGTTGGGACTACCATCATGCGCCATTAATTTAAAAAGTTTTTGCTGTTTACCATAATCATTTAGCCATTTCTCTATGAGTTTCAGTAGCACTAATTTTTCATAGTTATGCGCATATTCTTCAGTAAAAAAAATAAACAACCCCGAGATTTTCTTTCCGCTTGTGTCATGAAATAAAGAGCTTATTTTGTCTAAGAAAAAGGTTTTCACATTATCAGGGTAATTGACATAGATATCGTTAATAGTTATGGATTCAATATTTTTCATTTCCTTCTGCTTTAAACGGAATTTGTTATAGCGTATATTTCGTAGTCCCTTGAAAGGCTGGTAGTTTAAAAATACTTGAAATGATGTAAAATCAAACGTGCCTTGCTAAAAAAAATAGAATTGTTAAGTGAAGAACATAGGTTAAATGATTATTTAATTACATGGTTATCCTCAAAGCGAAATTCATTAGGGTTATGTTTCCTATAATTGTTTTGTGGAAATCGAGGAAACTCGCTTTCAAGTGTCATCATGTCAATGAACTCTGGTGTTAATTTAGTACTACAACGCCTTTCCAGACTTTCTTTTACACACGTCCGTTTCTCCTTTACTTTAAAAGGAAATCTGAAGTTAACTGATTTCAATGACTGAGGAGTGTATCTGCTGTCAATTGATGTTAATGAAGGGAATCGGGCAGTAAATAATTCCAGGTTCACACAAACTTCGTCATCGAAATCCAACGAACAAAAGGCATATTGCTTGCCATTTTCTATTTCTACATTTTCAAAGGAGTAACTGTTGCGCGATTGAATATATCGAAGTACTGTTTCAAGCTTTGAAAAGAAAATCAACCTGTCATCATGATCTTTTTCAGTGATAAGACCAGCTTGTATAAAAAGGGGACGAAGCAAGCTCTTTCGTATATCTTCATTCCAATCCGTCGGTAGGGTGAATGCATAGTAAAAGTCAGACTTTGGACTTTTTAAATATTTTTCCCAATCGCTCACTTCGTCTTGTAAAAATTTCACAGCTTCTTGCTTAACAACACTGTCGGGTATGTCCGCTTCATAATGCTCTTGTTGCATCATCAAAAAGATATTATGCAGCTCGACAAAAATGTTACGTACATAACAAGCATTTTCTTGATACTCTTTGGACTGCCATTTCTCTGTTGCTGATGCCCCTCTTGCCACAACAACACCGGTGTCAGTATTGTATAGTACTGATGGCATATCAAATGGTTCCCTTTTATGTAACTTATTTTTAGAAAAAAGTATATAATAATAAGCTAAATTGTACTTACTTTGAGCCATAACCCCAGTTCTGGTCGTGGTCTTCATTATTAATACTTGTGGCCTTGAGTATAATATTATTGAACTCTGAGTTATGTTAATATAAGATTATAATCTGCACTGTAGTCACTTACCAAAACTTATACAGTATTTGTGCAAAGAAAAATCATAATAGTCACCCATTTCTATTTGCGTGATGAGCAAAGGAAAATAAAAACAAAAGAAAATAAAAAGTAATTCGAGTATAACGTCGAACAGTTTTTGTTAAGTTGTTCAGATGCGGAGTCTTTCGGACGTTATCCGGCATTGTTACAATGTATGGCGAAATCAAGTTTTGTCACCTGCAAGACAGTTTAGTACGATTCATGCATGTCATACATATAAAAAAGGATTCCCTAAACTTCGTCATCATGGATCATTTTAAATTGGCTTTGGCCGATCTCTTATTTTTAAATCAACAAATAGGGACCACGGCTAAATTTTAAACGAGAAAAAAAAAAAAAAATCAATGCTTGGCCAATCGGGAGAAGCACAAGAACGTTGCGTCAAGTTACACGAATCATCTTACTCAACTGGATCCAAATTTCGAACAAAACAATGAAGACGCGTCAGTTCCTTAGATCTTTTGTTACTCTAGCGAATAAGCCCGATAAAGAGGTTTTACGTTTATTGAACAAGTGACATATTCAAATATAATTTAGGGTTAAACCTCGTTTTTCCAGAGTTACGGAACACAAAGCCTTCAAAAGCGCAAAGAAATTTTCTGTGTAACGTCCCTGTTTTTTTCAATACTACGAATGGCCTACAAAGTTATTGGGAATTTGATACTCTTCAGTGTAGAAAAAGAGCTGATACACGAGGAAAACAGGAGTATAGATATTGATTTGATACATGAGATATAATAAATTTAGGTTTTCTGATTAAGTGATATTATCGCAGACACGCACTAGTTTATAAGAAACAAGCCTATCTGCCAATCCATAGCTCTTGACATGTCTATATTATAATATAATTAAATAGAATCGGTCATGCTGGACCTTTTATTTTTTACTCTTTTCTTAACGACCGATTAAATTAAACAACGATTTTAAAACAGGCGTGCATCCAACTTCACCTTTCCAATCCATCAAATTATCAGCTCTTGTGGGCCCCTTTGTGATGATGCCAATTTCCTTGTTGGACAATTGGGCTTGTCTAATTAATTTGTAGGAGGAATAAGTAGCCAAAGAAGTACCCAGGACAAGCACAGCAGTAGCATCATCCACATACGCTTCAGCTCTTTTGGTAGTGGATTTTTTAATATTTTCACCAAAGAAAACAACGTTGGGCTTCATCTTTAAACTACCGCAGGACAAACAAGGTGGTATATCAAAATCATCGTAGGACACACCACTAGGTAATTCTACATCACCATCTGGATTTATTTTACCCTTACCAATCAATTCTCCCCAGCTGGGATTACGGGCGTGAATACGGTTTTGATACTGGTTTCTATCTACATCCGTTTTTCCACACGCCATGCATTCCACCTTTTGAAGTGTGCCATGTAACTCTAGTAATCGGTCGGTGGGTGTCAATGCTTTGACATGTAGGTTATCCACGTTTTGTGTAATGATATTTTGAATATGGCCGTTCATTAACAATGATTTTAATACGTGATGGGTATCGTTGGGTAAGGCATTCGCCATTCGAGGCCACCCTAAATAACTTCGTGACCAGTATCGTTGTCGATAATTATGCGATGACGCTAATTCGTGATATAATATAGGTCGATGATTAGGATTACGAACATACCTATATTGTCAATTGAGTTATACGAACAACCAATTTTAATAATAGTCCTTACGTTCCCTAGTCATTAATTTTAATATGTACTGATTCCTTTTCTTGTTCGTGTTCGTGTTCGCTTCTTACCTGATCACCTCTGTAATCTGGAATACCCGAATCCGTGGAAATCCCTACATACACTCTTTTCCTGTCAGCCCGGTTTCTTTTTCTTGTTTTTTTTTAGCTGTATTCTTACCAGCACCCGTAATCACTAGGATACGTCCTTTATGTCGCTCAAACATATTTGTTAACAATTGCGTTACTTCCATCTCATCATAGACGGAATCCATAATGGGCGATGCGGCTTTCAATTGGGGGATCTTTATCGTTGAGTTCCATACTTTACCGGACACTTGTTTAAGTAAAACGTTAGACAAGGCAACCATCGCTAAAGAGATGGGGTTTGTAAAAGTAAGGTTAAAGGGAACTCTTTTGTCCTATTTAATCCCAGATACCTCTCTCTGTTTTTTTTGGGCCTTTGACCAATCAACGCTTTTTGTCAGTAATGCATAAAGATGTCAATAGTTTAGCACCCTATATCTTTACTTACATCTTTAGTTGATAATAACCGACAAATTATCTAGGGATTTTACAATTTGGGTTTGTATAGGCAATTCTAAAATGAAGCAGTGTTTACTGTCAGCTCTCATGGCAATAATACTAACAACATGAGAAGATTATGGATACCAGAAGGATTTATATATATGGGTATGTGATATTTGTGTAAATATCTTCATGTGTGTTATAATTTCCACAGCCTGCACTTTCGCTTCATTGTATGAAGTTAGAGAAAGTTTACTAAACTACTACAAGCCTTCACAAAAATGGGATAGAGGTACCGCTTAGACCAGGCAGTTCATTAAGAATACCCATTTTGATAAATTCAACTATCGAAACTACTGAATAATAAAAAAAAAAGCATTGTGGGGTATAAGCGCTGTGTTGTGACATATAACGATGTACGTACATTAGACTGAAAGCGAGGTCATCAATTGGGGGGGGGGGGTTTAAAATTAAATAAAATTTATAAACTGGGTGATTTTCTTCGAGTTAAGAGCTCATAATGTCGCACCCCTTCTGTTTCTCACCAACAGGCGGAATTTTATAACGATGAATCTGTCGTTCATCGGCGGGGTGGATCTCTCATCTTGCGACAGTTTATCATATTTCTTTTTACCCAGGGATTCACTGTAAGCAGAATAATTTGAAATTAATGTACGGAAAAGCTCGCCTCAAAATAAGCATGACAGTAGGGCTGCAGTGCAATACCTGGTCTTTTTTTTTAATATCAATGAATGAATATAAAAAATTACATAATGAAGCTTTGGCTATCTTTTTGCCTTGTTTATGCAAGCCATGAGTTTTCGCCACTTTTACAACGTCAAGCCATTGACAAATCTTTAAAAGCTCGTCAAACATTGTCTTGATAAAGGAAACTAGAACATTTAGTACGTATTAAGTTCATTTGAATGGGCACAGTAGGCCATCATTGAATGTAGGAGTAAAATAAATTAACCAATCTGTTTCATTTGATGATATTCGACTCACTGTGAACCAAAACTAGAAAACTGCGCATAGCATGCTCATTCGTCAATACAGAACTTTCTCTTCTTTTAACTAGCTATGATATTATATGAACATAAATGATTTGGTTCAAAAAAACTTTATTTTACTATATTATCAACTATAAAATTGCTGTTAAAGTAGAATTAACAACTTATTTTTATGTACAAGCTAAATGTAGGCGAGTGTTAGCGGCTGCCCTATGATATTATACATATCACAGTTTTGATTTTGATAAATGGTAGAATAACCCATCATTCTCACCGTAAAGTGTAAAGTATATTCATGGTTGGCGTGTTTAAAGTCTATTATGACTGGCTGATCTTTGCTCCTTTCATCACTGATATGTATTATACATTTGGGACCTTCCGAATTATCCCCCAAGAGTGTATATCTACCTATAACAGTGTCATTTGAATGTTGCACTCTAATAAATTCTGAAAAATAATATAATTCGGGGTTAGGGTTGCATCTAAAAAAGATCGACTGAATTATAAGTACCAGCGAATACTCTATTTTTGGGGTCCCATTCATTATAGCTTTCAATATTGCTGTCCTCCTCAATGAGCAGTTTTAATTTTATCGCCAATCCTGTTATCGGAATCGACTCCCCTTTTTGATGAATTACCAGAAAGTTACCATCCTTTACAACAACTTTCTCGTCGTCTTTGCTGCAATCCATACATATGAACGAAGGGTAATGCTCATCTGCAGCTACAAATCGTACCCCGTAAGTATCTGTGCATATCTGGCTCAAAACTCCTTTGATGAATCTGTCATGCATGTGTGGACTTTTACTTGTTGTCTGATTTAATAGTTGGCAGAGCGATTCTTGTAAAGCAAAACCCTGTATATATTCTGCCTTCAGCTCGATAGAAATATTGATCTCTTGTTGGACTATCGCGGTATATATATAATAAGTCGACAAGAAGGACGAAATGTTGAATGGATCCCCTAACAAAAACATAAATTCCACTTCGTAATGGCCGAACAGTGCTGTGTTTATCGCCGAAGCTGCTATGGTTGTTACTAAAGATTTTATGACTGACCTAATTCCCATTTCAATGATGTCGCGAAAAAAAAGAACAATTGTACAAGGGCATTCTTCCGTGATTTTTAAATGGTAATTATAATCCATGTCAATACTTGTATGACTCAAGCTCAGCTACAAGAAATTAGGCGAAAAGAATACACATATCAAATAGATCTATTCCACTTACAGCTTCCATCAAATAAATTTTTAACCTCTGGTAAATAGCCTTGTAACCTTCTGAAGAATTTAAGCTGTGAGGATTATCACCCTTATTCTTGTGCTTTAGACAGTAATCAATACGGTTGCTAGATAATAAGGCCGCCCAAATGTTTTTGCATAAGGTGTCATATACATCCTCTATGTGTAGTATTTCATCCTGGATAATGATGGTGGCAGCATCCTCGGCAGGTGTTGATAGTTTAACAACTTGATGTAAAGTGAGTTGAATATGCTTTTGATTTAACTGTGCAACAACAAAGTACGATTTCATCTTGAAATCAGCGTCTTTTAATTTCTGTTGAATGGCAGGTAAAATTTCTTCGCCGTAAGTACATATTTCAGCTTTTCGAAAACCATTATTATTATTTAGTATCCCACTTGAAAATAGCAGATTATGTAGCGTTTCTTTTGAGTCAAACATATCATCCAGTAACTTCTTTTCAACCGAAAAAACAAACGCAGTATTCTTGTTCTTCCATTCGTTTCCAAAAGCAATGTCCAATTTGTCTTCTATAATTTTGTTGAGATAATATAGGTACGTTATCTTAAAGAAAAAGAAGTATCCGGGGTGGCAAACAATTACGGAATTATTACCGTCGGAGGCAGTAGGTGCAATTGTTTTAGAAAACATCTCATGCATGTCAACCTTGCTCAAAAGCTTCTCAATTATTTTTGTTTTAGAATGAACAAATGTACTTATAATATTTGATGTTCTATCTGGGTCTGAGCACAATACGAGATATTCACCAAAAATAGTCTCGATATATAATTTCATCCTAGATACACTTATTCTTAGTCATCCATTAACATATATTCATACCACTTGAAAATTTTATCACCTATTCGTTATGCACAGTGCTGATCTCTCGTACAAGTTGGACTGCGAGATAAAGTTTGTTAATGGCTGTATATCACTGACAGTAACAATAAAATCACGTTAGTATCATTCCATACCGTATACCTATATAATAAATACCATTGATAATCTCCTGTTGTGCTCTTTATATGGCCGGTATCTCCCGTGTGGGTAATCTGCAAGTTCACAGTTGTAGGCAACAAGTCTGTACGAAAAATTATTGGTTTAATAACTTGCAGTGCACATGATTTCGAAGATGATTTTGAACTTACCTATATAAATACAATGTACAGGCCTAAACGGTTCTGTTTTTGAGTCCAGTGGCTGTATTTTTGGATCGCTGAGTTTGTTGTATTCTCTGACTCTCTTTTGTACTAGTTTTTCACCCCCTTGAGTTCTTGTAAACAAAGTTAATCTGAAGCTGACGTTTTTGTCGTCATCATCGCCATCATGTGACATTAATTTATAAAGAGACTGATGTTCACCGTAATCGTTTAGCCACCTCTCTATAAGTTTCAGTAACACTAGTGTTTCATTATATCGCGCATATACTTCTGTATACAAAATGAACAACCCCGAAAGTTTTGTCCCGGTTGTGTCCTGAAAAAAAGCATGTATATAGTACATGAAAAACTCCTTCACATAATTAGGGTAGTCCATATAGATATCATTTATAGTCATGGATTCGATAGCTTTAATTTCGTCCTGCTTTAAATTAAACTCTTCGTAACGTATATCTTCTAGCCCCTTGAAGGGCCGATAGGCGAAAAACTTTTGATAAGGTGTATTAGCAAATAGTTCTGGCTACAAATAATATAAAAAGTTATATATAACGTAAACGTGATTTATAAACTGGTCTCCTATACTATTACCTGATTGTCCTCATAGTAGCATCTGTCAGGGTTATGTTTCCTGTCTTGTTCTGGTGAAAATCGATCGAAATAGCTCTCAATTGTCATCATGTCAATAAAATCGGGTGTCAATATTGTACTACACCTTTTTTCCAAGCTTTCTTTTACCCACTCTCTGGTTTCCTTATGTTGTAAAGGGAATTTAAACTTGGACGATTTTAATGGCTGGGGGATATACTTGTTGTCGATTGATGTTAATGAAGGATATTGGGCTGAGAATAATTCCAGATCTATGCAAACTTGACCATCGAAATCTAACGAACATATGGCATACTGCTTTCCAGTTTGTATTTCTATTTTTCCAAAAGAATAATCATTGGTCGATTGAATAATCCGAAACACGGATTCTATCTTGGAAAAAAAAATCAGCCTATCAACATGATCTTCTTCAGCGATAAGACCAGCTTGTATAAAAAGAGGACGAAAGATACTATCTCGTATATCTTCATTCCAATCTGTTGGAAGGGTAAATGCATAGTAAAAGTCTGACTTGGGACTTTTCAAAGATTTTTCCCAATCGCTCACTTCATCTTGTAAGAACTTCACAGCTTCTTGCTTTATAACACTGTCGTATATGTTTGCTTCATAATGTTCTTGTTGCATTCTCCAAAATACGCCATACAGCTCCATAAAAACGTTTTGCACAAAATACTCATCTTGTTGATTCTCTTGGGACTCCATTTTTTCTAACGCTGACATTCCTCTAGATGCGACAATACCAGTAGTAGTATTGTATAGTATTGAAGGGATATCAATTGGGTCTCTTTTATGTAAATCATTATTAAAAAAAAATTATGAAATGCTAAGCTGTACTTACTTTAAATCATTAACCCAGTCGTGATTATGGTCTGCGTTATCCATGCTTGAGGCCTTTAGGCTTGTATTATCGAACTCTAATTTATGTTAACATAAGCATCATACATAATACACTACAGCCGCTTACCAAAAATTAGACAGTATCTATGTGAAGAAAAATCATAATACTCTCTCATTTTGCGTTATGGTGAAACGAAGATTAAAAGAAAAAGAAAAAAGAAAACAAATACAACGTGGAATAGCTTTCATTAACTTTTCCATTTGTGGAGCTATCCGATATTGTTACAATGAAAGGCGTAACTAAAGTTCGCCAATTACAATACAGATTAGTGTAATCCATGCATGTTGTACAAAATAAAAGAATGTCATCGTAAATCAATAATGTTGTCTTTAACATATTTCTAATGTTAAAACAACAAACACATACGAGTATAAGGATGACAGGTATAAGGTTTTGAATAAGAAAGTAACAATTTTAGAGCGTCCTACTCGATCGAAGCACAAGGAGTATGTATAAAAGTTTCAAGTTACACTCAACCGGATCAAAAATAAAATAAATAGATATTTTTCCTTTTTTATGCCTTGTCCGTCCATACTTCCTTCATAAATATGCTATTGAATGAATAATAAATATCTGTTAATGCCATTTTAAACTCTAAAAAAAGATATTGCACACAAAAAGATGAAACTTACTCTTATCGTAGACTCTTGGACTACATGAGCTTTATTATGTTTGAAAGTGGCGATAGACTAGTTATTTTTATCTTTTCAGACTCAACATATATGTCTAATATATGACAGTGATATGCCTGGGGCACCATGAAGACATTTGACTTTGACATGATTTCCTGTGACCAAACAATGGATTATTTTAAACAATTTAACTTCCCCTCAAACTTTAATTTTGTCAATCATGCTTAAAAAATGTCGGGGGAGTTAAATTACCCCCAGGGTCCTTTTTTTTTTTTTGAAAAACCATGTTGCTTCAATTACGATTACTGTCACGTCAAACAGGTCCTTGGAAGAGGTACCTCAGCACACCTGCCAGAGTTCGTTTTGCTCCTAGTCCAACCGGTCAATTACATTTAGGAGGTTTACGAACCGCCCTTTTCAATTACCTGCTTGCCAAAAAGACTGGCGGCCAATTTATTCTTCGTATTGAAGACACGGATCAGGTAAGAAGGGGGGAAATGACTAAACCATGGCATCAATTACTGACTTGAATTAGACACGTTATGTAGAAGGAGCTGTAGAGAATCTCGTTAAGGCTCTGAATTGGGCTGGCATTCCTCATGACGAAGGTAATTTGTGTATGGGGGCGATGACTTGTTTTACTAAACCGTCAAAAATTAAGGGCCTGAAAAGGAAGGACCTCATTCACCTTATTACCAAGTAAACGCTCTTTCTCTTTTTTTTTTTTTTTTTATTCAAAAAAGAAAAATGCTAACGTTTTTCGTATTAGTCACAAAGGACCGAGTTGTATAGAGATCATGCCAAAAAATTAGTCGAGTCGGGACATGCTTATCAATGTTTTTGTACACCAGAACGATTAGCACGAGTACGAGAATCACGACAAAAGCAAGGAAATTATATCGCCTATGATAAACATTGTTCATACCTAAGTGACGAGGAAATCAAGGAGAACGTCGATCAAAACTTGCCTTTCACTGTTCGTCTTCGTGTAAGTCTATCAAAAACACAAAATACACAATATTATTTACATAATGGGATAGACACCTTATGAAGGAACAACAGAACATAAGGATTTGGTGTATGGAAGTATCAATTTTAGTAACAAAACAATCGATGATACAATTTTGATTAAGAGTGATGGATATCCTACATACCATCTTGCCAATGTCGTGGATGATCATTTGATGGAAGTGACACATGTTTTAAGAGGAGAGGTAAGCCAATGCTTTCAAATAGCTACCGCATGATTCCTTATTTTGACAAACTCTGGAAATCATAGGAATGGTTATCTTCCACGCCTAAGCATATTCTGTTATATAAGGCGCTAGGCTGGAAACCTCCCTTGTTTGCACATCTTCCTCTTTTATTAAACCCAGATGGTTCAAAGCTCTCAAAGAGATCAGGGGATGTTCATGTAGAACAATACATCGCAAAGGGGTATTTACCAGAAGCCATTGATAACTTTGTTGCATTATTGGGCTGGAATCCAAATACAAGTGATTCTGTTTTCACTGTTGAAGAATTAATCGAACAAGTAAGTCGTGGATAAATAAAAGGAAGAAAGAGGTCAAAACACATTCAACATGCTAACACATTCGAGTAGTTTGATATTAAGGACATCAATCACTCTGGTGCTGTTGTGGATCATCAAAAGTTGGATTGGATCAACAAACACCATATTTTAAAGCGCGCAGAATCACCTGAAGGGTTAAATAGTTTGGTTGATATTTTAAAACCATTTGTGAATAAATCCTATCATCAACTGGAAGGAACTCAACAAGCATATAGATTGAGCAACGAGTATCTTGCACAAGTGATTGATACGATCAAGGAACGTATCAGAAACATCAGTGATATTCCCAGCCTCTGTAGTTACTATTTCGAAAATCCAGACTATGCAAGTGCGGATGCATTAGCATTGAAAAAAAAATTGAAGCAACCTGCGCTTGGTATGTGTGAAGGCACTCTTTTATTCTTTTTCTTTAAAAAAATAGATGCAACTAACCCGTTTTTATGGATAGATTTAATTTCTACCGACGAATTTAAAGAAAAGTTGAGCACGATTGAACCTTTTGAGGCAACGACGATCAAACCTTGGTTATATGCATTATCAGAAACCAACGGATTGAACCCAAATCATGTCATGATGGCATTGCGATATAAAGTAACTGGATCAAGAGTAGGTGCAGGTGTTGCTGAGACCATCCAAGTACTAGGTAGAGAGACTGTGATGGAACGATTAAATTAGACCCATACCAAATAGATGAAAATAAAATATGTACATATTATAGTATTTCTAGATGATAAGCAATTGTGTCTGTTGTTCCCAGGCTGCAAGATAAGATGTATCACCCGAAAGATCCCAAAGGCGGTACCGAAAAAAGAGATCTTCCGCCAATCCACTTTTAATCTTTCTCCTAACAAATAAGTATATCACATATTACATGCTAGCTATGTTAATAAGACCCACTGTTACATTGACGATCGTACTTTGTATATTCTTTCCCGTACTTTGGTATTGTCTTTCAATGCGGGGACAATTGGTACCACAAAGATAAGACTAAAGGCGGGCACTAAATACAGCAAAGATAATCAAACTGAGAAGCTATTGTTTTTTGTTTGCTTTAGTCTTAAGCGCATATGTATGTCGATACGGTGTAATAATAGAATAATGCCAAGGATATGCTTGTTCAATATTTCAGTCTATAAGCAAAGGAGGTTATTTAAATAAATAAAAAAGTAACGATCGATTGGTTTGTGGAACAAGATCTATGGCCAACTCATTCCGGATAAAGTCTTTCTGTTCGAACAAAAATCCTTGTGTTTTCATCACTGGATGTTCGAGATCATTGCCTAGCTTTTTGACGTTTGTGTGAGGCTGCCTTAGCCAGATTTTCACCCACATTTTTTTTTTTTCATAAAGTAAATCGATACCCGTTACACACCTTTAAATAAGTCTTTCCAGGTCTGTTGGCTCAACAGCTCGGATTTTGTACTATAGTTTTAGCTGGGTTGAAAACTTGACAATGGAACTGTCATTCTCTTTTTTATCAGAAGATTACTCGTAAAACCCAAGCTGAATGGATCCCTAGCTTCATTACTGTCAGCATTTAGTGACACTCACCCACCAACAAAAATAATCAACGAGCCGATCATAGATTACTTCCCATTTTAAAAATGCGTCTACCACAAAAGTCGACAACCACTTTCTCTAAATAAGCTTCCTAATAAATTTGCTATAAAATAAGCCTATGCATGTTAATCAACGCTATCGTATGTATAATGGTCAGTTCAACATTTACACATGAGTGATTATTGGATCCAAAAACCGGGAAAAGAATCATACCTTAAGATAGACCTTTTTGACTGATTTTTAAACTGTCCGCGGATCTTTGGTTACCCACTTTACTTACTTCAGTGCTTTATGCTCCGTGAGTGTTTGCTCATGCATGTTTTCCACGTAGATTTTTGACCAAATGAGTTTTCATTTTTAGACTGTACCTATACATTCATTTTTGCTAATGTTTGTAGCTATAATTTACACTAAAGAAAGTGTGATGGATACATTACTTTACACATTGAGTTCAGTCTAAAACCCTTGCAGTGTAGCTGTGATATCAACCATGTCCCATGAAAATTTGAACGCGCCTTTTTATGTAAAAAAATAAAACATCATGCTTTAGTGTTTGAACTTTTCTCAGAAAAAAAAACCATTAACGGCTAACAATTTATTGACACTAACGACGTCCTTTTAATGAGGTATCGTTAAAAAGAAAAAAAAATCAGTGAATTGGTTCCAATTATAAAAATGTTAGATTATGTCAGAACGAGTACTTGGTGGATGAATCGCTGTCTTTCATAAAAGGGACAGCTCTTTATGAAGAAAATCACTTTAAATGAATATACTATGTGCTTTTTATGATACTCCACATATTTCTCTCTCTTTTTTATCTAGTCTAGTTACTATTATGTAGCTTTCCTTGGTCGTACTATTTTCCATCTAGGGTACGAATCGACTATTTTATTACAGTCACCTAATTTCATTAGGATCTCCTTGCAAAGATCTGGGTAAAAAACGGGAGAGATTATTTTTTTTATCTTCCTTTATCTTGTATTTTCCTTTATCTTGGATCTCCCCTTTATCTTTTATCTCACTAGATTCGTGCTACTTGGTATTTTTTTTTTCTCTTTGCAATATCGATATAAATAGCGGGGGTTTTGGATCTGCGATAGTTCTTTGAATTCAAAAAACTTCATAGAAAAAAATGTCTCAAGAAATTAGTCCTGTGAAAGCAGGTGGAGATATTGTTACAGAGACGCCGGAAACATATTATTATACACCAGAATACATGATGGCAGTAGAGGCCCCTAAGCCCTCTTTAATAAAACGTGTCAAAAATTCACTTACAACACGCGAGGGATTATTAGGCGATTATGATTATGTTGCTTTATGCATGCCTCGTATCCCTTTTTACACTAAAAAAGTTGGGAAATCCATTTTTTATGGTCCTGATGACAGTATTCCTGTACTTGTTGCTCTTTTAATGGGATTTCAACGTAAATAACTTTTTAAATAATTTGCAACACAATATCAAAGACCAATTGAAAAGAGAATCTAACCCCGTTTGACATATAGATTTTTTAGCCGTGGTGGGAGGTATCATCACACCTACAATTATTTTATCTGGTGCTGGCTCAAACAATTTGAATTTGGATGAAGATACACGTCAATACATGGTATCTGTTTCTCTTATTGTGAGCGGTATCATGAGTATCTTTCAAATCGTTCGTTTCAAAATCCCCAAAACAAATTACTACTTCGGTATTGGGTAAGATATAATTGAAAGTAAAAGTAAGACAGTAACAAGATCTAAACATTGACCTTTTTCCAGATTACTGCAGATTGCTGGTGTTGCTTTTGCTAATATGCCCGCAGCCCAGGCTGTTGTTGGTAACATGTATAAAAGTAAATACATCCCTTCTCTCGAGTTCATACATGGCATTTGTATTTATTATTTTACTTAATAGACGGTCATTGTCCTACCGAAATTCTAGCCGATGGTTCAACGGGCTATTTGCCATGCCCAGATGCTTTTGGAGCTATTCTGGGTACACAAATGCTTTGTGCACTTTTAAACATTGCTATCAGTTTCTTACCTCACCGCGTACTTCGAAAATTGTTTCCCAAGATTGTTACTGGTACTGTTCTCGTCGTAATTGGTGCTTCACTTATTGGTAACGCTATGAAGAACTGGGCTGGTGGATCCGGTGCCTGTATGAGCCGACCATTATCTGGAGATTATGTGCTTTGTCCGGATATCTATGCGCCTAATGCACAAGCTTGGGGTAGCCCAATGAATTTCGCCATTGGTGGCGCTGTATTTGGCTCGATTATTTTGATTGAAATTTTGGGTTCTGTCTTTTTGAAAAATATCTCTGTCATTCTTGGTTTAATTATTGGTGTTATTATGACAGTTTCCTTGGGTATGTTTGATAACACAAGTATTGCCTCTGCTCCGGTGATTACTTTTCTTTGGGTCAAAACTTTCAATTATAGCATTTATCCTCCCGCTATTTTACCTTTTCTCTTTACCTGTTTGGATATGATGATTGAATGTTTAGGTGATTTAACGGCTGCAAGTGATGTTTCAGGTTTACCTGTAGAAGGTACTGCTTTTGAGGAACGTTCGCAAGGAGGTCTTCTTTGTGACGGTATCAGTATTATTCTATCGGGACTTTGCTCTACAATGGGTGTCATTACCTACAGCAACAACAATGGTGTGATTGCTGTCACTCGATGCGCTAGTCGAACAGCCGGACTTGTATGTGCAGGCCTTTTGATTCTTTGTGGCATGTTCAGTAAAATCTCTGCTGCTTTTTTGGCTATTCCTAATCCTGTGGTAGGTGGAATGACCTTGTTTATCTTTTCATCAGTTGGTACTTCTGGTATTCGTATTTTAGGATATCTTGATTGGAACCGTCGTGATCGAGTGATTGTAGCATCTTCCTTAGCTATTGGACTTGGTGTATCTCTCGTTCCAGATTGGTTTACATATGTTATGCCTGTAACTACAAATGAAGCTGCACAAGGGTTTTATGATTCTATCAGCACAATTGTCGAAACTGGATATCTTATGACAGGATTGATCGCTATTTTACTTAATTGGATTCTTCCTGCCGATTTGCCAGAGTCCTTTTTGGGAGAAGATAAGGAATCGATCAGTGGTCATAGTCGATTATACAGTGACGAGGAAGAACAAAAGAGTGTGTCCTGTAAAATTGAGACTACCGGCCCCAAGCATTTGTAAATCTATATATGGGATCCCATCTCCCTGCGTTATACCTTTATTTATATCTGATGGGGGATTTAAATAAACATATCTCTTTTTTTTTAAACAACTTTTTTTGATATCGATCATATAGCGCGTACATACATACGTGTAATACAATATTTAGATTATGAATGAAAGTTAAAGCAAAAGTGCTTCAGACCCGACTATTAAGCTTTTTTCAAGCTTTTATAAAAATAATCTTCATTTAAGGTAATAAGACTGTATATGAATAAACGAATTCATGTCCATGAAAACAGGAAAGTTTTAATATGGGCGGGATTTCTCCCTAGATTTACACAATGGGAATATTCAAATGCTGTTAAATTGCATCATTTTAAACACTTTCCTTTGTGTAGCACTGTCAAAAAAAAAAAAAAAAAAAAAAAAAAAATGATGAATTCAAAGTTATTGGCCTTCTTCATACACTTTGTTGTAGTCATCAAGTACAACTACAAAGATGAGAAAATAAAAGAAAGGAAAAAATTGGACCCTCAAACAGGATTTGTATCACGAGCTAATAATAATAATATAAAAAAAAGGGCGTGATGTGGAGGATGTGTACCTTGCTCCGCGAGTCCCAATTTATTTGTTTTTTTTTCAATTTCACGACATAAACTCCTTTTTCATCTACATCATGCCATCCAAACCAAAAGCAAGAAAATGCTTTTGTGGTTGGAAAGGCTTATTTAAAAAGGGTAGAAAGGGCAACCAAATAAACCAAAAGGCTACCATAGTTCCCAAAAGCAACAAGGTCATTCGCGTTCCCAGTTCCATAAGAAGTCCTGTTCAAACGCAAACAACAAGTACAGGTTATTTTCAACAATGTCCAGATACTAAACCAAATAATAACAAGCAGAAAGTATTGTCTCAGTTTAAGAATTGGCAAGGCATTTACATAGACAGTGTCAAATTCAACCGAGCACAGACATCCGTTATGAAATATGACATGGACTGTAACTTTGTGTGCTTAAATAGCAATTCAGAACTTCGACGATGTTTTAAAGATTGGCAAGGTATATACTTGGGTTTTATGGATCTCAACCCGAACGATGAAGCAGTGTCTTTTAGAGACTCTCTGGACTTTGACGGCAATAAAAAGAGCTTGGAAAAAAAACCCAGTTTTACTTTGACAGTAGAACATGTATTTCGGAATTCTGACACCCGCCCACAAACTTTCGAAAGCAGCATGCAAACGGAGCCAGATATTTCAACTCCTCAGATTGACCAAGATACCATAAACCCAGATACCAAATCAAAACCTCATTCAGATCGAGATATGACCCAAGATACCAGCAATTACCATAAAATAAAGCATAATATTGCAACCAATACCGAAAGGGACCAGCAGCATAATAAAAGAAATCCACGACATAGCAAAATGAACTCATCCATTCCCTTAAAAATAGAACAAGATACCACAGCAATAGAGCGACATTTAGAATCCCTCCAACAACAAGAAAGAGAAAAGTTATATACGGACGATTACAAAGCAGCCCTCGTGAGTCTGGTTCTGGATAAGAAAATTTCGGTTGCTCAAGTTGCAAATAATGCAGATGTTCCCCATAGTACGCTTCTAAACTGGGTCAACCTTGCCAGAGAAAAAATATGTGCTCAACCATCTTTTTTCAAGTTGGAACATAAACAGTACCTGATTAATTTTATTGATGAAAATCCAACAGCAGTTCTAAATGAAGCACTTGAAACTTTGACACAAAAGTTTCCAGGTTTAAATGCAAAAAAGACACATATCCAAGAGTTCATGAAAAACGAGTGTAACATCAAGGTGCTCAAAACGGACGTTCCCAATCGAAAAGAAATCAAAATGAATTTACAAAATCGTATTCAGTGGGTGAATCAATGGAGTCACACAGATTTAGATTACATGAAAAATTGCGTATTTATTGAGTGTCCCCGACTTGATGTTGTGATGAAAAGTGGTGGATTACCTTACAAGAAGTCAGGATTAAATGTGACTCCTCGCTACTTTTTTGTAGCCGTTTCTGCTGTAGGTATTGTAGAGACATGCATGTTCCATCCAGGGATCAAACGAGAGGACCCCTATGTAGAGTTTTTAAATGCAATTTTGGATAAAATGGATAGATCAGATGAGCTCAAAGGATCCTACGTTGTGATGAATAACATGCATGACTGGCTTTTAGACGATTTAGAAAAAATAGTGGTTGATAGAGGGTATCAATGCGCTTATTTACCACCGTACTGTTCTGATCTAAACCCTATAACCAAATTTTGGACAACAGTCAAATACGGAATCAATCGACATTATCTTTTAGATGGTGAAACAATTGCCCATAGAATAAATCAATCCAAAGCTAATGTATCACAAAGCGAAATTGAGGGTTTCATACAGCACTCAAAAAATATTTCACTGGACATCTAAATAAACCTAACGCATAAAATCATTACAATTCATCTTTTTTTCCTAACGTAAACTGCGAGCTACTTTTCAATTTGTTTTAAAAATGAATTCCTGCATACGCACTTTGTGATGAGGTAAATTTTTTAAGATTAAAATTACTTTAATATTGATATTGTTTGATCAAACTACAAAACGAGCACATGCTCCCATGAGAAATATCTTTTATTTATGGCGTATCTTATCATTCTTTCGGGGGGTTTTTTTTTCGGCTTTTTTGTTTTTTGTCTATATACATTTGTACGGTTTCTGTTATTTTCATTCTTTTTTTATTAAAAAATACGACTGACACATCACACTTTTTTGTTAAGGTCAAATTGATTTCTGGGTCGGGCTGATACAGTGCATCTATTTTGTAAGGCTAATTATACGCGCACCATACTTTTACTTGAAAAAAAAAATCTTGCGCACCATTTTTTTTTCTGTCTGGTCAAGTAATAAAATTCCAGGCCAGCTAAATAATAGGGGGTTTCATTAACTATTTCTCATTCTCATGATTTTTTCTCATAAATTTAATCAGCCAATAACATTGCTTCAATTTTTGAGAAATATAATTTTTCTGAGGAAGATTTTTCTTTCTCAAGATGAGAAAATATTTCTTGAGAAAATGAAAATAATTAATGAAACCCCCTAATATTTTCGCGCACCATACTTTTTTTGCTGGCGCACCATACTTTTTGAAAAAGAAAATCCATGTGGTTTTGAGTGTGAGCTCATGCTTTTAGTCTAATTTTTTTTTTTTTTTTTTTTTTTTTTTGGGTTTTGATTATTATGAGATGAAATATATAAGTTTGGTAAAATGTTGAGGATTGGCGAAGTAAATTATAAAAGTATCCTGTCTAAATGTAAAAGTAATTAGACACGTCGTTGACACAAATTCCTCAGTGCGCGTCGAATATTTTTTTGGTGGGAAAAGTTTACTGTTGGTCATTTTTTAACTTTGGAAGCCTTCTTCGTTTTATTGTCGAGTTGAGGCAAAATCATATAAAAATGACTGTTGGCAAACAAAAGTTGAGTGGGATCATTCATTGTTTCTAAATCCAGACCAAGAAGTGGTACAAAGATAGTTGTATCTTTAGTATACATGACGTTATAATCATTGTCTCTCCACGTGATATCATACTAATCAACTTTTGGTGTTGTTGCATGTTAAATTACTGGTCTTTTAAATGTATCAGCAACAATCTAAGGGCATCTGTAACAATCAAACCAAAGACTCAAGTCATCAAGACAGGGAGCTCTTGTTAATTGCAATTTTTTTGAGGTATACCCTTCGTTTAGCCCATATGTGTTGTAAAGAGTGTTAGCATACTTTGTCGTATTTACTCCTATTAAACCGAATATAATTACAATTTAGCTTGCCTCTTCGTTATAACACATACCGTATTATAACAAGAACTCTAGTGAATATCATTCCTAGTGGTTAAAGGCACAATGCCAGTAACACACAACATTTACTCTGCGATTATATCTTACATTAAATCCAGGTTGTCGAGTAACTGTGGAATCTTATAACATATGTACTTTGATCAAGAACTCTAAAGCCCTTAACTTCAAGTAAAGGAATTATATATGATTATATTTATATAAAGACTCTAAACATACAAAAGCGAGGATACATTAGATAAGTAATAAACTCTACTTTATTTTGACATTGATTTGTACTTCAAATTAAGGTATCACCACCTCGTGTCAAACCTTAATTAGAACTGAGCAGAGAAAGTAGCTGAAGTTATAATTCGTATATAAAAAGACATCTAATTTTATTCATGACACACTCTCCAATTTATAATAATAATACGTAATGTCTGTTTAAATAAATATGTCATGAAGTAATTCCTTCCTTACAAAGTAAAGACAAAAGTACGTGAGGATTAGTGTTCGAACTTTTCGAGCTTGCACCGATCTTGCGCCAGTTCGAACGAAGCTCGAACCGAGTTTTTGTACTCGAGCTTGCGCCACTTTTTTGGGTTCGAGCGAGCTTCGATCGATGATCGCTCGAAGCTAGCTCGGCTAAAATGTCGATAGTAGTCACTTTAAAGTTAAGGTCCTTGAAAGACTACAGATGGCATTTCCCCTTGATTATAATCTTTTCTTCCCTTTACCATTTTTTTTTATTTATGCTCTAATAATTCCAACTAAAATGCTTTGGACTTTTATTTAATTGTACAACCAACAAACACATTTACCATAGAAAATGATACAGTGTTGCACACTATGCCCAACTAAGCCAAATTTTTACAGCAACCATAGTAACATGACGTAGCAGAATTAATTTAAGCTTTCATGTTCACAAATCCAAATGTATTATAAATATAGATGGAGTTGAAAAATCCAAAGACAAAAAAGAAAATAAGACAGAGTATTAACCAGATTGCAAATAGGAACTGAACTTTATTAAACATAAAAATGTGGATTTCTTTTATACCCAACGAACACAACTATTTACAGCAAACGGGAAGATGACTACCGTGGGTAGATTATATTGACATGTTGTCTAAACTGTCAATATCCCGCAAGGTACATCAAGGATAATGAAATA